CCAAATCCTTTAGTTACACTGCATATTAGTCCAAGCATGCATAGTTGGTTAATCATGGTTGACAAAAAATACATTTTGGGATGTCACTTAAAATACTATTACTGTTTATTTTTATTATTATTTAAATTTAACATTTAATAACATATCTAGAGTGGGATCCTAAAATTTTTGCCATTGAGTGGACTAATTGAGTGAAACATGAAATTCTTTGAGTTGCCTGTTGGAGGAGCTCTTGCTGGCAGGAAAAAAGCCAACGGGACCTGGTGAGGGATAGTACTCTGTGATGTTGCCTTGTTAATAATGACCAAAACCCTAGGAAAGAGGTACTTATTAAGCTCACACATGTTTTCAAGCCAACGCAGATGTAAAGAGGCTGCACTTTATGTGACACAGTATACCAAGAATACAACAGAACAGCTTCTGCATTCAAAACACAGAAATAGTGGAACAAACACTCCCCTCCGCCGGTGAGGAAAAGTGAAGTCAAAAGTCAACAAGGACACAAGCTGTTTAACGTTCACTTTTTTAATGGTAAAAATTAGATAACATTTAGCAACATCCAAAAAATACTGACAATGAACTACTGGAATAATGTGGATTCTTAACCCTCGTAATTTGAAAGTTGACTTTACTTCCTTTATGTTTGGGCTCTCACATACTCCACTGCTGTATGTGTAAAAATGATACTAATAACTGCAGAATCAAGTATTTATTTCTTGAAATTGCTTTTCCCCCCCTTTTGTTTCATCAATATGACATATAGTACAAAGAGGTGAAGTTGGACAGACAACAGAGTAACAAAAAATACATTCACACAAGAGAAATGAGCAGGCTATGACTCAGAGAAAATGTATAATAATATTGTTGATTATTGAATTAAATAAATAAATAATCATTGCCTTGGGCCGCCCCCAGACTCTGGAAGGGAGCCAGCTGCACTTGAAATTTGATAAAGGTGACAAAATACAGAAATTACCATGAGGTATAAACTAGATACAGAAACATTGTTTTATGTATTGACTATACATTAACAGAAAAATTATTTTTCTTTGATAAAAGGTCCTTTACAGACAAAAAAAAGAAAGTGATGTTACATACTGATGTTACTTAAGGTATGCTTGGGGTCAGCAACTCCCTTTTATGAACAAACTGTTATAATACTCCTTTAATATTAATCCTGCTCTATTTATCTGGGAGGGGTAAAGCTGTGTACACTGTGTGAAGTACAGTCAACACCAATCACAGATATAGAGCAAATAAAAACCACTGTATTGAAGTTTACTGGGGTCATGTGCCAAGGACATGACCATTTATAGCAAATGGTTATACAGTTAGGTTTGGTGGAAAATGCTATGCGCTTTGAGAGTGCTCTCAAATAATCCAAACAACAATGAGGATTCTGCTGAGAGAGCTACTTCCCCTTATAAACACACATTAATGTAAATCTTTGTTAAATCAACAGCACAATGTGTCGAGATTACAATCTGTTTCTAAGGACAGCTGTGAATGAACCAATGATTGTAAAGCATATATGAAATGGCTGATGCCACTCAGCCAATATGAACTCTTGGCCTGAACTAAATAATACTATGCTTCATCAAATAAAACTTGTAATGAAAAATTACATTACATTACAATTACATTAAATTATTGCAAATAAATAAATTAGGGATTTTTTATAGCACTTGAGTAGTAAACTGTGTATTTCTCAAAAAGTAAATATAAAAAATATAACTTTTGAATAAGCAGTTATTGATATTGGAATCAGACATTTGAACCAGCACTGCTAACTGACTTTGTATTTTTCTTTGCTTTGCACAGAGACAAAAGGTCAAAGTGTTATGTCTCCACCTGTGTTTGCAACTATTAACAGAAGATGTATGTATGTCATTTGTCTCTGTTGTCAATGTGTTTGCAGCGCTTAACTGGTGCAATATATAGTAAGATAACTCTTCAGGGTCTGTCTCTGAGTTTAACAAGATCAAAGTCCAAACTTGCATCAAACATCTACAAGGTACAAGGCTGTTTATTAGTCATTATACAGCACAAGGCTGCATAAGGAAACACAAACAACATATAATTAAGTGTAGGCCTATATTAAAATATGGTAACATATAAAATAAAATAAAACAATGTATACAGTAATTTAAATACATATATACAGACACGTATACACCCCTAACATTCCACTTTTTGAATTTGCATCTGAGGTGAATGTAAACGGCAGCAACAAGGTGATAATATGTATATATGTATATAAGTTTCATCTTCACAATAAACAGTCTGACATTTGGAAAACAGAGTCCATCTTGACTGTGTTTGAGCAGCAAGCATCATTGATGTAAAACTCTGAGTCCACTTCCTCTCATCTTGCCAGAGTCTTGCGCTGACAGCTCAGAACATGGACCACTTGCCGAGTGCTTGATCCAGGATGTTGATGGGGCAGGTCTCTGTAACGATGTTGGCACAACAGTCTCTGAATTCCATTGTCTGTTCGAGTCCCATTTTATCCAGAGCTTTAGGAACAAAATTAAACTGAGCTAACATCCTGGCTCTCTCTCCTCTCCTCTCCTCTGAGCAATCACCCACCCGTCGTGGCGCCTGGTCCGGTTGTTTGGGCCGGGTAGATCGTAGTCTGCTGCTCTTTAATCCAAAAACCCCGTCTTCATCTTCCCATTACTGTACTGTCTAACAGCTTTAGATAAATGTAAAAGTAAAGATGGAGATGAAGAAGTAAAATGTTGAACTCGTCCCGCATGAATGGTTATGATTATTGACAAGTTAGCACTTAGCGTCAACAAATTAGAGAATAACCACCATGTAGAGCATTTTTTCTAGCACAATGATTTAGTGAATGAGAACAATGTACCATAATGACACTGCTGTAACTGGAATTAATATTTATAATATATATTATTACAGGCTACCAGTGGTAAGATTTAGCCGATAGGATACTATTATCTGAAATTATCAGATAATAGTATCTAATCAAACCTTAACAAAACAGAAAGCAGTTTTATTTGTGAATCAGTTGAATTGTGGAATCTCAAGCAATAAGCTGTTGAAATGTTACAAAAGGTTGTAGTATCCAATACTTATGTATTTGACTCATAACAGTTCAAAATAGCATATTGGATACTACATATTTCCCCCTGCGAGACTTAATTGAGTCTCGAAAAACAAAAAGATAACAATATGCTTCTTGCAGTATTATTTTTAACAATATATCAACTTTATGGAGTGTGAGAATGAAAAACCTGTCCGGCAGCCTTCATTCCAAAATGCCCTTCAAGACAATCTAGACAGGAAAATTTTCTCACGGCTCCTCTGCCTTAGGCGGCCACGCATGGTACTCCAGTTTCTACTACAAACAATCTGTAGGCAGCCATTAGCAAATAAAGTGTAACCTATACGTATTTTGGTATTATACTAACATTAAACAATATATTTAATGTTATAATATTGTACTAATACACTAATTATACTAGTTACTACTCCAGGTGGATAGTGGAACCTCTGCAGTACACATTGCCACAGTGCCACCAATTACTTGAACCTCCCCAGCCCCAACCTTCCACCCACTGCGGGTGTCCATCTGCCTCCTGCCCCCACTGTCCTCTTTTCTGAAAACCAAAATATGGTCACGCTATTATACAGGTACGGTAACTTTGTGATGTCGGGTGTAACTTAGGGTACTGATTAACCCATACTACGTAAGATGGATTCATTTTACCCAAGGTTTGCTTTCATGTATTTCTAAACTGCTCCAAGCAGGTTGTCTTCGTGGTTGACCCAATGTTACCCTATATAAATGACAGGATACAATAAGTGTACACACCACATCTGTAGGCTACTCAGTGTTAATGATGAGAATTATTAATCATCTACACCTCTTGACAGAATATATTTATATTTAATCCTGAATTGTTGCCACCTGTGCTTCCTCATGGTTAGAATGAAGGTATTATTAACACAATACATTTAGATTCAATCAGGCAGCCCTACAGCCTAGGTGCTGTAGATCTTAATTCATTAAAGTTCCCATGCATTTCATGCTCTGCAGACTAAGGGGCTGATTCAACATTTGTGTCCGTTTCAACCCTTACCCTCCATTTCACAGTTTCTTTGCTGTCCACATTTCACAAAAAGCCCAGAGCCCCAAGGGAAGCCTGCCTGCGACTTTGTTTGTCTTTTTTTTTCATTTTTCTAAAGTTTTTCATATTCTGTCAAATACCTGTATTTTTAGGGCTCAAACTACAAAATATCCTGAAGAAGGAGTAATTTAAAAGGACAAATCTTTCCCCGATCAGAGTCTTGCAGCTGAAAAAACTGAGAGTTTATTGTTTTGCTTTGGGGCACCTGCAGGTTCATTCAGCCTGACATCTCATGCTGATAATTACACAAGTGCACACATTCCTCAAAACTAATCATCAGGACACAAACCAGGCAGAAATGTCTCAGATTTTGGCTACATGTACTCTGTAAAGGCAATACAAATGTGAAATACAAATAATTACATAGAAATACAAATGAATGGAGTTATTTTTCTTTTTATTCTTGGCTCTGTCTCATAACTCAGTCAGAATAACGTGACACAACATGAATCAGAACACCTGCAACTGCTGCTGATTGAATCGTCACATCACATAGTCACTTATTGACTACAAATTGTAACCTGCAAAGTGACAAAGGATGAGAAAAGGTCATGGTGTTACAGTGATTTTGAATAGTTGAATATTTATCTGCTTGTTTTACAATTTGTCAAAACAAAACACAACACAAACTTACTGATTTTCTTTTACTAATCGGCTGCTGCAGATAACTTCAATCTAGAAAATCAATCCATGCTTATGAACAAACAAAAAAGGAAACTATCACAGAAAACATTCAAGAAACTTTAAAGAAAACCAAATTAGTTTGGTTGACCTCACATGTGACAAACACACGCAGACACTCGATCACCCTGTTCTTCACATTGAGTAACCAATAAAGGGCAGGGAGTGTATCTCAGTGCAAAGAGGGAAAAGAGCTAACATAGTTATGCGCCCACTCTTGATGCTGGAGCTCTATGAAACACTTCAACCAGGCATTATTCCTGCACAACAAGGACTCTGCATTCTACCTCAGCGTTTAGTGAATGCAATGCTAATACCTTTAAGAGGTTAAATTGCACTTCAAATAATCCAAAGTTCAGAAAAGCCGTAGGAATTTGAGAGCCGATTACTCACTTTGACACACAGCAGCAACAAGACGACATTAACTTTCTTTTTGATTTTTTGGCTTTTTTCAAGGACTCTTTCTGGAAACACTTTGCCAAGATTTTATTTGAATTGACGCATTCTTGTGTTAATGAAGGTGCTACACTTTATGAGCCAGGATTGTCATGATTACATATTTTATGTAATGACAGAAAACTAATTCAGCTGGTAAGTCAAACTAATTTGGTATTAATGGCATAAGAAAATACACCTGGTTAGGGTTAGGGTTAGTTCTTGGAGCTGATGTTTTCTTCATTACTTTTACAGGTGCTAGAACCACACACTCCTTTGTACACATACAAATATTCTAAAGGAACCCACCAGCAACATTATCCAGTGCCATTAACATTAAGCCACGTTGTGGAGTTCTATTGTACAAAACTATGGCATTTGGGGACCTCCTAGAGCTGGTGGGCAGCACAGGACGCTTTCAGATCCTGCATGTGATACTCCTCTGCATACCTGTCCTGATGATGGCCAGTCACAACCTGTTGCAGAACTTTGTTGCTGCGGTGCCTCGTCACTACTGCAGTGCACACACGAACCTCTCTCAGTCCCAGCTGAGCCCAGAGGAAACCCTGCTGATCACAGTGCCGCTAGACCCGACAGGGAAGCCACAGAGGTGCAAGCGTTATGTTGTTCCACAGTGGCACCTCCTGGCTAAGAATGGGACCTTCAGCTCAGGGGAGCAAGGAGACACTAAGGATGGTGTGGATGCTGACCTGCAGGAATGTGCAGATGGATGGTCCTATAACATGACTGAGATGAGCTCCACAATCATATCGGATGTAGGACTGCATATCTTTAGTCACTCAGATTTATTTTGCCTATATGTTGTCATGTCATGTGTGTTAAACTGTTTTTCATTTTTGTCAGTGGCATTTGGTATGTGATATGCGCTCTTGGAAGCAAATGGGACAGACAGTCTACATGGGAGGTGTGCTTGTGGGAGCGCTCATCTTTGGAGGCCTTTCAGACAGGTAACATCGATCTTATCCCTACTGATATCACAGATATTGTATGCGTTTCTTATCTGTTACAATTAATCATATATATATAACTTGTCTGCTGCATCTTTTTATTCAAAAACTAACTTATTCAAGTCAAATAATATAATATAGTCTTACATCACTCTTTGCAAATCCACCTGGCTCTTAGATATGGTCGACGCATCCTCCTGCTCATCTCTAACCTGCTGATGGCAGTGGCAGGAACATGTGCCGCTTTCTCTACCTCCTTCCCCCTCTTCTGCCTGTTTCGGTTTGGTTGCGGCATGGCTCTGTCTGGCCTAGGGCTCAACACCTTCTCACTCAGTAAGATGTTTAGCCGGATAGAGAACAATTGGGTGTACTCTATTAAAAGGAAATTATTGGATACAGTCAACAGGCATGTAAGAATTATAAAGTATCTCTTTTTCTATGTATTCTTTCTTTTCAAGTTGTGGAGTGGATCCCCACTCGTGTGCGAACAGTGGTGGGAACAATAACAGGTTATTGTTACACAATGGGACAATTGCTCCTGGCAGTCATAGCCTACTTCATCCGTGACTGGAGGTGGCTAACCCTGGCTGTGTCTTTGCCCTTCTATGTCTTCTTTCTCACCTCATGGTGAGATGCCAATTATTGTAGACAAGTAAAAGTTAGGGTTGCAAAGAGTTAGTTTTCAAAGATACAGTTGTTTCACTATAAACAACTAAACAAATATCTCATACAGGTGGTTTCATGAATCTCCAAGATGGTTAGTCCTGAGTAATCAGTCTGAGAAAGCCATCAAGAATCTTAAAAGTGTGGCCAAATTTAACGGACGCCACGAAGAGGGAGAAAAAATTAACATTAAAGTAAGGGAACGCATGTGTTTCTGTTATTGCACCATATATCTGTGTTTAGAATTGTGTTTCAAATACATTTGTATTAACAGAACTGTCTTTATGCTTAGATGCTGCAGGAGTCCATGAAGAAAGAGGTGTCCTGTTCACAGGGCTCCTACTCTGCCCTGGATCTGTTCCGCACACCTACAATGAGGACAATGACAGTCTGCCTCAGTGCTATTTGGTACATGTCCTGCTCTTATCGTAGAAAAACTCAGTCACGCTTTTAAGCACCTTCTTTGAAATTACAATGACACAATGCATTTTTGTTGGAATACTAACTTAGGTTATCAACAAGCTTCGCTTACTATGGTCTCGCTATGGATCTGCAAAAGTTTGGGGTGGACATCTACTTAATGCAAGTGATCTTTGGAGCTGTTGACATCCCTGCTAAAGTTGTCATAACTGTGTCTATGAGTTTTCTTGGGCGCCGTCCATCACAATGCGGTGCTCTTATTGTCGCTGGAGTCACCATTTTGATCAACCTGCTGGTACCTTATGGTGTGTTAAAACACATGCATACAAGTAAATATTGGATATTATACTACAGAAACAACCTGCTCAGTGACCTGATGCATGTTTCACCTCTGTGCAGATAAACAGACTTTGCGCACCTGTTTGGCTGTATTGGGTAAAGGTTGCCTCGCTGCCTCCTTCAACTGCTGTTTCCTTTACTCTGGAGAACTGTACCCAACTATTATCCGGTAAGTCTTATTTAACAACAAACGTATGTTCTTTATATAATGTAATCTAATTTATTTAGGAATTTAGTTCAGTTTATTTATTTTTTTGGAGAAATCAGAACTCATCTCTATGTACAGTGTGAAAGCGCCAGATGACAGTTTATCTACTGGAGGGACATTAGCTTGATAAACCGACCAAATTGCTATTTTGCTCAACAACTTAGAAATATGGGCAAAGTCTAGAGCCAGGCTACTCATATCTATGTTTTATTCAAGAAATAGGTCTCACAATGAGCCTACAGAATTGCAGTTTATTGTTTAAATAAATACATACTAGGGGTTGGAGCTTCTTTGTGTTGAGATCTAGAGAGCCCCTAAGGTTCTGAAAGGTGATTAAAAAAAACAAAAAAAAAACACCCACCTCACCTTGGGGCGGCTGTGGCTCAGGTGGTAGAGCGGGTTGGCTGTTAATCGGAAGGTTGGCGGTTCAATCCCTGGCTCCCCCTGGTTGTGTGTCGAAGTGTCCTTGGGCAAGATACTGAACCCTGATTTGCCCCTGTCCCTGATATTCCACCAGTGTATGAATGAGTGTGAATGTTAGTTTCCGTTTGAGCACTTAGGCTCTGTGTATGACGTAGTGTAAAAGTGCTTTGAGTGGTCAAAAAGACTAGAAAGGCGCTATACAGAGCATTTACATTTACACAACTTAACATAACTTGTTCCCACAAGACAAAGGACTTGTTTCAACAAACTTGACTTTGTTACGATCAGCCACCTGGCTGAACACCGGAAACAGAGGTTTTTGGACCCAAGATGCCGACACTGAGATGGAGCAGGTAAGTTGGAGTTTATTCCAAACAACAATGGACTTACAGAACAAGTAAAACAAGAATGTCCATAAATCCAAAACGTGAGTGTACAATCCACAAGGTGACAGGAAACAAGAAACTAAACAGTAGTCTAAATCTGACACACACACACAAACTCCTGTGGAAACAACCACGCATACAAACAATGAACTGGCTAAAAGACAGACAACCACTTAAATACAGAGGTGGGGGGAGAAACTAATTACACACAGGTGACAGTACTCAGACAATCAGAGACAAGCACAGGAAGTAAAACATGACAAGAGTCACTAGGGCAGACTTACTACAAACTAAAACAGGATGTAAGGCTAACTGAAACACACAAGGAACATTGTCACAAAATGAAACATAACACAGACAACATAAATGACTTGATGACAAAAACCAACAAAAGCAAAGACCACAGAGACAGTAAAACAACACTAGAAACACTAACTCATAACAAGGAAACATGACAAATAAACAGATGACTAAAGTAACACATATACACACTAGAGAGAAGAGTAAACACAAAGGCAGGAAATGAACACAGAAAACAAACCCAAAATACACCCCACCAACCCAAACCTGTGACAGACTTGTCAAATCAATGCCAGCCGCTGCAACACCAACTTAAGCCATGATAGTAATCAAGTGCTCCCACCTCGCACTGGTCCATTATTTGCTGTCTTCTTTTATTGACAAAATATGTCCTGGAAGAAGTGCTGCTGAATGCATGTCCTTTCACACCATTCTCTGGACCCAAAGCACAGTGGGGAATACAGAGAAGGCAGTGTGACACCAACAAACTAGGGCTGACCCTGAATAGTTGAAGATTCAATGCTTCGATGGGCGGAGGCTGATTCCACTGTCAATCTCACAGTCGAAGCTTCGCAGAGAAACAAGGATCATACCATTTTGGCTATATGGGGGTGCTCAACGTCTGATTTTACATAGAACTACCAGTTTTCTCCCAATAAGTTAACATACAGCCTATTACAATATCCAAAAATAAACATGTAAAAAGAATACAATTTTCTTTCAATAAATGTTTTTAAAGTGCGTGAATAAATCCAAAATTGTAACCCTAACCCTGGGTTGTCAACGTGTTGGCGTAGCGTGTATGTGTGTAGTGGCAGAAGAGGAACATTTGCTGAAGAGACCGAGCCCCAGCTTCGCTAGTGTTTTGCCGAGTTGTCTGCACCTCGCGGGACTTTCGGATAATTTATCACTGTTGATTAACCACACAAAGAATATTTTATCATTTTTGAACAGCCGGCTACTTGAAATAGAGCTGCGAGGAACCACGACGTGCATGCTGTTGTCGGCAGCACGGCATGCACGCAAAACTATGCACAAGAATGGCAGGCGAGAGAGAGAGAGAGAGAGAGAGGGAGAGAGAGGGAGAGAGAGAGAGAGAGAGAGAGAGAGAGAGAGACAATAAATCACAGTTTAGCTGGAAATTTACAGTGTAAGTTGAATAAATAGAGACTGCAGCTCTGCAGCTTCTCAAGATTATAGCGGAGCCACCATGAATTAACCCCCTCAGTTCACATATGCATTGACACTTTATCACCATCACCACAACCACTGATTTAAAGCATGTATGTCTTTATGGCTGTCTTTGTCATTTAATAGTTGTACTTTTTCTTTCACAGTCAGAATGGCATGGGCTGGGTATCCATGATGGCTCGTATAGGATCCATGGTGGCCCCCATGGTGCTTCTCACGGGGGAGTATTTACCTTGGCTACCAGGTTTAATCTATGGAGGAGCTCCAATTCTCACAGGAGTGGCTGTAATATTCCTTCCTGAAACGCTTGGCTCACCCCTTCCTGACACAATACAAGATGTGGAGGACAGGTAAGATCGAGCTCCAGGAGAAAGGATTTGTTTCTTTTCTTATATCTTTGGATGTCCCAAAATTTAAAACCACATTTTAGTAATGAAAAGGGTCTATCATCATGGTTTATTGAAGAAAAATCAGCATATACAGCTGAAGAGAGAGAGAGAGAAAAACTGATTTATCCATGTTAGCATTTTTTATGTTTTGCACAGGGGACCTGGTAGAAGCTCCAAAATGCCACCAAAGGAAGCAATAGTCTTGCAAGACACGCAGTCGACGCTCCTAAAGCCGGCTGTCTGAGGGCATCTGTATTGTTCTTCTGATGTTTTTGCTGACATGTTAATGAAAGTCGGTGCTGCTTTTTCTCTGGCCTGTTTACTTGTTTGATTTCCGCAAAGAGTTCATTGTGGGTTATGAATGCTGGAAAATGGAGCTGGAAAGGTTTTTTGGACAGGTCAATACAGTGAAATTAATATATCTGCAAACAATCAGACCCATGTTTATTTGTTATCCAGTAGCTTTAAGGACTTTAGTCTGACTTTGTACCAATTATGTTTTATATTTTACTTGTCTGTGTTAAATATTAATTTCATATAAATTCTACAGTTAATGGTTATGCTGTGCTTTACTGGAGTTTTTATAACTTCTCTTACTTTATAAATAACCCTGTGTTTGTAAAAAAAAAAAAAAAGTACTTTCTTTAAAATCAACACCTCTTCATTCATATCTTGTGTTTCTCTCCTTTCTTACCATCTGTGGAACCCAAATACTCACTATGATTTGTTATCTAAATGGGTCATTGTCAGCTACTGCTCAACTGCTGAACAGCTGAACTGAAACAAATCAGATGAAGAACCTGTTTGACCAGGATAATAAATCAATGATTTATATCATATATCAATGAATAAACACAAGCAATCACATTCAGGATCAAATATTACTTCACACAAACATCCTCAAACATCCCAAAGTATTACTCAGTTTTAATTTATTTTACTTTTTAACTTTGTGTTCACATGAGAACCTCTGGTTTCCCATTAAAGTTGGTCAAAATTTACCTCACTCTTTAAATATTAAACTTTGGCAGTCTAGGTAAAGCCTCCAGGACTTTTAATGGACAAACTGAATCATGGATATATTTGGATATCATGGATGACACTAAATTAGACTTGCTTTTGGAAATTGTTCTTCCTATGATATTTACTGTGAGGAAGACTTCATTCTGTGCCAGATTCTGTGTGACAGATTCAGTCCATTGTTATTTTCTTCATTTATGTTTTGTTAACATGGCTCTCTCTAGGGACAGTTGCTGTCCAGATGTGAGCCTTTCAGCCAAGACAAATGTTTCATTTAACAAAACTTGTGTTTGATAGATTTGTGCTGGAATATAGAGCATGAGCTGCTGGTGGTCAGTGCCTTGACTTCAAATGATGAAAATAAATAAACAAATGAACACCTAATGATTAATGTGATATTTAACATGAAAACATTAAGTTGTTGCTGTATTTCAGTGTCACATTCTTTTGACACAAAAATAATTATTTATTTATTTATTTTATTTTAATGATGTTTTTCTGTTCCAAATTTGCTTTGATGTATGTTTGGATCTTAAACTGCATTCAGATGTAAAGTAAATGTTCAGTCAGTCCTGCAGTTAAGTTGCACTGCCAATTCATTCCATAAACACCACTGTTTATATCTATAAGGCCTGTTTCTACAGAATGAGGAAATATAACTGGATACAATACAAAGTACCACTAAAACCATGCAAAAGGTGAACTCCTCTGGTGTGTGACTTTTGCTGGTGTGCCACCATCTAGTGGTTTATTGATGCTAATGCAACTAAACAACACAGTCCTTGGAATATCTGCAAATCTGCATGACAAAAAGGGAACAGCTTAAAAACTATAAGGTAACATGAAATCTCGACCGGTAATTCTTACTTCTGATGGTCTTTGTCTTGAAGGTTTCAATCTGCTGGATGAACTGGGTTGCATTTCATGAATGCATTTGGGCTCGATCAGCTGACCAGTTTTCAATTTGTCATTCAAGATCTTTTAAAATATGCAGTAGGGAATCTTTTACAAATTTTACAAATATGCTTTGGCACTGTTTGTTAAGAGATCCTTCTGCACAATTGTATTCATCCAAGGAGGGACAATAATGCTAGAGAAATAATCAAGATTAAAATTAATTAGTAAAATAAATCCTGTGACAGTCAGCTAAGATGCTAATACATATCATTTTACAATGTTCAGCTGTTACGCAGGATGTGTGTGCGTGTTTGTATAAGCTCTCAAATCAGAGAGCAGAACAACCATACAAAATAGTTTCGTTATAATCTGTAAACCCCATGTTAAACCCCATGTAGTTTTCAGTGGCCACTAGTGGTGTGGTTTTTAAACTGCAAGGAGGTGTCAAACTCATGAGCAAGCACAATCCGGCTCACTGGGAGACAGCTTCACCCAACATGCTGGTAACTCAGGTAAACTCCCACTGCAATTAATTACAGTGATATTTTTGTCAGCCTGAACTAATCCATGCTCGTTAAATGATAACGTTACATTGATCACTGGAGAGTGAACTGGTCTTCCATTGTGTTGTTTTCCTGCACGATTATGTTGCATTATTATATATTTTGTAGGTCACGTAAGTTACAGCGACTGAGACCGTAGGAGAAGCTGTGTACCTGAGTTTCAGTAAAACAACAATAAATCTAAATTGAACATTACGAAGCAAACAGCTGGCTGCCCCTGCCTTGCATTGCTATAGGTTAGTATATCGTTAAACAAATCGCTTCACATCATTTCTTGCAGGCTAAAATCAACACTTTGGCATAATACTGGTGGACGGGATAGTAATATGGGTCGCATTAGCTGGTGAAGTAACGTGGAGCGCCAAACAACTGCACCGGATAATGTTAGCAACTGCTAGGCGTTAGCTGACGAGCTAATGTTATCTTAACTTGAGCTAACTAAAGTACAAAATCACAATATATTTCATATGCTTTGCGGTAATGTCAGTTTAGTTCATGTTTTGATACATTTTGATATATTCGGTTAGTTTTGGTTTCAGACTGCAATTCTGCGAGTGCACTAAAGAACTTTACATGATGGACTTGCGTCCTGTTGTTATCATTTATGTGGGCTGTGTCTCCCTATTCTTGACATTGATTGGTTTAGCTTTGACAAGAATGAATGAATGAGGGATGAAAAGATGCATATCATTGCCACTATATTGTTATTATTATGGCATTATTACCTGCAGCAACAATTATACTCAAAGCTTGTTCAAATTCACTAAATAAATGTCCTTGTTCTGCAAACATCTCGTCGTCAGCAGGAAAGGAGGAGAAGACAGCAAGCAATCCTCCTGCACCTCCAATTGAGGAAAGACTAAAGACATGAGTTGCAGTTTGCTTTCATGGTAGTAGAAGTATAATTGTGTTCGGATCAAACTGAAAAGTCCAAATGTCCCAACCCTACGAGATAGGTGTGAAAGCCCCGATAAGCCTTTCTACTGTTGATTGCATTTTCACTCTACATCAATTTGATTCTCTGATTTGGCCTGATGGGCATCAGCACATAAAACTTTGTTGTTGGTTTTTATCCTTACATGGAGTTTATCTTGAAGTTTGCGTTGGAGTCTGTGTTGTGCTTGTAGTTGGACGTTTTGTGGTACATTTCGTTAGGTGAGGTGTTGTTGCTGTAGTCAGCAAGAGGCTTGGGAGCGCGCATGCAGCAACAACACCCACCGTGTGGTTCATTTCTAAGTGACGTTGCAGGGCCTTGGACAAATAGGCAGTAAAAAAGTGATTTATTGATAAGTGATTTCATTCAAAAACTACATATAGCCCCTTTAAACAAATATCACGATTGTAAACTGTGTATGTCAAGTAAGTCAAGGTAAAAGATGACTCAAAACCAAAGCAAAGCTTTCTACAGAAATAACTACGTCATAAAATGATATGAATAAAGATTTATTTTCTCATATGAACAGGTGGAATTATCATTTTATTTTACAATCTATGACAATCTCGCATTTTTTTTCTTTTTTTCTAGCATATTTCAGGAATGACATGGGGAAAGGTTATTTTTTATTGCTGAATGTTAAATGAAAATACACTTTCACTGACTGGAAAAGAATTGTCTGCTGCTTTTTTACCATGCACCCATCTAACCGTGACCACAAGGACATGCAGAAGAGAGGTGTTCAAACATTTCAAGCGAGGGTGGGGTCAGGTGGGGTGTGGGGGGGTCATAAAATGAAACAGTAGAGACTTGCAGGACAGTGCCTGGTAGCATCTTGATTGGGTGAGAGGACTGGCAAAGTGAAAGGAGTATCACATTTAAACCAGCGGAGCACTGTCTTCTTTTGCATTTTTCAGACATATAAAAATTAGACCCAGAGGTGAGAAACTCAATGAAATATCTGCATGTGAGGTGTGACCAAAGACCTTTCTCTATAACACCACTGTGCATTTACCATATAGCAGTTTGAATTGCAGATCAATCATTTTAAGAGTTTTTGTTAACAAGGAGTACAAAACATACCAACAGTGATGAAACGTCATCAACTGTTCTCTCTCACTGAGTAACTATTAATGGGTTTAACATTTCTTGAATTACCTTTTTAATATATACTTTTCCTTCAGTGGAGTACAGGGGGGATTCAAAAGATTTTGTTTGCTTTTAACATCATTAACATTGCGCACTAAATTTGGAAATAACTACATCCGTCAACAAGACAAAGCAGTACACAGTACTACTGGAGGACAACCTATTTGGATGCTCTCTGACATTACTTGGAAGTGTGCACATAAGTAGGGGCGGTCTAAACCAAGTGATAACATAATCCATGGACACAGTCATTCAATGGAGTATGTGAACAAGAAAGGCTGACGACTTGATAGATGGCTGCATAATGGCTTTAAAAACTAACTCATGTAAATATGCATTTATATCATGTTATTTCATTCTACACTACAGGCATCACATAGTTTTTTTTACACACAACACACTACAGTCACCTCTTAGAAAATGATGTAATCAAACAGCAAAATAGAAAGTTTGCATATTTTTGCATTGAATGATCCTCCAAAGTTTCACAGCCATTTATATTGTCTATTATGTTCTGTACTGTTCTCCACTAAGCTGCTTCCACTTGGCTTTCCTTCTTTCTGTATGGGAGTGTTCAGGGAACTGGTAGACTGTTAACATTTAGGCCTTCATTATCTGAGAACCTTAGTCTTAGGTAGACATTAAGTTGAGGAAGGTGAACAGGGTTTAAGGTGGAGGGAGGGGAGAGGGGGTGGGGGCATGTGGAAATCCTGAGACACTGTGTGGCCTTTAACATGAGCCACAAAAACAGAATGGACACAGAAGGATGATGAGGCATAGGATTAGGGGCTGAGTTGAGTGAAAACAGATGCAATCTTTTTGTTTTGCCATCACCTCTGATGGCAGGGGCCAGGAGGTCACCCTGTGCCAAGCGGCTCAGTGTTTGTTGGCCTCTTAACAGACCGACATAAGGAAAACCTGCTGGGGAATAAAAAGGACTTAACTGGGGCAGGCTGGGAAAGGGGCAGAATAGCTGTAAACACATCAAGCAATGACCTGCATAACACACGACCCTACAGCAGCCTTACCTGTCCATCTAGACTGGGGGTCACTGTTCTGATAAAGCACTATTCTGTGGACCTCTGACACACTCTTCTGTCAGCTCTGCTAAGACACCAGTAGACCCACACATTTGATGTTACCACAACAAACAATGAAATTAATCTAACAATCACAAATACATGCAAGCAAACTGACATGCGTTCTCTCTCTCTCTCTCTCTCTCACACACACACACACGCCTTTTACGCACACACACAACAACACAACATCTCACTCTCTGTCTCTTGGTAGACATTAGTCAGAGGGCAAAAAGGATCTACACTGTACTTATCAGGCGTTCTATTAGATCCCAAATCAAAAACCCTACAGGCGAATCATATTAATGTAAACATACACTTTATGTTGAAGTGGTTTATATTGCGTGACATTGAAGGGGTTATGTTCCAGTGGGGCTAGACTCCTCAAAGAATGCAACTTGGAAAGAAAGTAAAACAGGAAACCAGTGAGGGAAAAAAAAACATAACGTGTATAAAAAATGAGGCGTCCATATAAGAAAGGCTACAAAAACCTCCACTGGCCCTCTGGCATCGGCATACAGCAAAAGGCACCACAATATTACTCTATTTTTTACGTTGTGAAAAAACTGGCACATCTTTTTATGCTGTAAATCAAAATGTACATATAAATAGAGTTTTCCCTATAAAAAGTCTTTACTGTTAACTAGTAGACAACTTTTGCTAAAATGAAAATAAATATTTCATTTGTTTAGAATATCTGTCAGTTATATAAAATAAAAATATTTCTTATAGATGCAGGTCTATACTATATTGATTTTTGTT